GTTCGTTTACTATTGCGGCAGGGCCAATGAATATCCAGTAAAGTTTAAGAGGACGCTTGAAAATGTCCAGTTTTTTTTTAAAGTAAGGTGAACATGAGATGTTTACTTTTCTGTCCAATAGTTTGTAACCGTCTAGCTGGTGTTTGCTAACTAATGGCTTCGGGGCGAGCGTCTTTCCTCCTTACACCAGTTGGGTGGCAGCGCACTGGAGGGTAGACAGCGGATACCTGCTGAATAACATGGAGATTTCCCATACTGTTTTCTTAGTGCGCAGCGAAGAGCTTTCCTTCTTTAGGCTAGCATCTTTAGCATGATGATAAAATGAAAATAAACAGATTCAATAAGGAAATGAATTGTATGTCAGAGGACCAAACTAGGTATTGGAACGATTCCTACCAGTTGGTCTTGATCGTGAGCACTGGTAGATTTTGAAAAGTGCATCGGCTTCATCCAGATGATTTGAGGGAAAAATAGGGAATGTTTACGGGATGAACCGACAGACCCATTCAATCAACGAAAGCTATCACAGCGTCATCGGCAATCTTAGCCTGGTGAAGAGAATCAGGAACAAGGAGCTGATGGAACTGAAGGGCAAAAGAGAGAGGGGGACGTTCTGTACAGACAATTCTCGTTGCTTGGTATTGGCGAATACTCTTGAGTATAAGAATATGAATGGGGTTCGGTCTTGTACAAGCATCACCAAACAATATTCTCTGGGAGACGTTCTGTACAGACAATTCTTGTCGCTTAGTATTGGCGAATACTCTTAAGTACAAGAATACGAATGGGGTTCGGTCCATTACAAGCATCACCAAACAATATTCTCTGGGTTCATCGATGAGGCGCTGGTGAAACGTAGTTGGATTGCCTCTGTCCACGATCTTCTTATAGTCCAGGATCACCAAGTGTACACTTGCTGTACTTCTGCACCGGGGCGCGGAATGCGCATGAAATGTGACGTAGAGCGCAAATGTGGGTAAAACAAAAGATGTACAAGCGTAATACACTACTCATAAGTTGCTTAAAACCCTTCGCCAGTTGAGAAGAACATCATAAACGGGGAATTCAGCTGGGTTCTAAGCTAGTCTTCCGTGGTAACCAAAATGGCATGCAAATGAGTCTATAAGTCGAAATGATGTACACTCCCAAACACCCAAAGGATCGTATTTTCGGGGAATCGGTGGGCTTAGTTGAGAAGAACACCATAAACGAGGAATGCAGCTGGGTTCTAAGCAAGTCTTCTGTCGTAATCAAATTGGTATGCAAATTAATGTATAAGTCAAAATGATGTACACTCCCAAACACCCAAAGGATCGTATTTGCGGGAAATCGGTGGGCTTTTCAAGGTCCGTTTCGGAAGCTTTTAAATGTGAAATTTGTTCTGTAGGGCAAAGCTAGTCGTTGATAATCTACTAGCCGAAAACTCAAACAAGAGACTGTGGCATGGTTTCTAGATTCGTATAGTGACACCAGGAGCTACAAACCTTCAGTCGGATATCTACTCTGATAGTACGTAGAAGGTGTGATATTTTTTAGCTATTTGTTGCCGTTGCCGCTGCATCAACATATCTTCCATAATACCATTGTTTTGTGGACTACAGTTTCCTTGATGCCTTCTTATTACCGTGAACACCGATCTGGATAGCCGATCGATAGCCTAGTGCGCTTGGCCAAACCAGAAACAGTCAATGAACGTGCGAACCGGCTGATCTATTGATCGCTGTTGCGTACAAGCGGGTCAAAAAAAGTGATACTAAGAATACAACTCATCTGCCAGGGGCGAGTGAAGAACAACCAATCAGATCTGTCTCAACGAAAACGGTTAGTCCATTGGCTGTTATATAGTCCTGTTACTTTCGGAGCGGGTTCTCCTGATACTTTGGTAGCCTAATGTCACCCGGAAACTGACTTTTGCCGATAGAGAGGCGGGAAAATTTAGCCATACTATTCGCCTCAAGGTTCGAAAATTCAAACAAGTTATTCCGAAATCCAAATTTAAAAATCAATAGAAAGAATCGCATTCGAAAGTGACAAAAACTCCACATTACTAAAATTAATGGGCCTTTTCAAAGCTTGTTTATTGTGGCGCCGACTGGGCTCGAACTAGCGTCCCACAGCTAAAAACATCGGTCTTTACTGCATATCTTCAAGGTCATTTTTGTATAAACGCTCTTTACCCGTTCTACTTAGCATACTGATCTAAATCCCAAATTATTGGAAATCGATAGTTCGGCTCAAGAATGAATCGCACAAAATAGGCTTAGTTTTTCGGCAGTTTCAGTTAACGTAATTTGAACATTGATCTGCTTTGTATGGGCAGTCCTTCCAACTATGCAGTATGTGAACCTACAGGGAGTGCACGAGTCAGATTTGGACGCTGAAAAACCATGTGAAACGCTTAACGGTGTCAAAAGGCATGTAATTCAGCTACTACTCGAATCCGCTCTCACTAATCTCCAAGTAGGGTGGCCTACAATATACGTCCCTGCCCAAACTGCGAACACACACCTTCAGCGTCCCGACTTTCTCGGTAGTTCATCGAATTCCAGGTCACATTTCGGCCACCAGACATTGACGTCATGGTTCTAGAGGCTTTGAAGGAGAGAATGTTGGTAGCTAAGCTAGTGCAGATTGTCGTTGGTATGTTCTATATGTTAAGCAATTAAATAGCAAGCGTTTTGTCACCGCATCACATCAGCAGTGCATTGTTTGGGGGCCTGGTGGAGCCTAGCAATGGGTCAATGGTTGTGCCCAACATAGCGAACAAACCAGCGACCAAATGTACTTTTTCAAAGCAGTGAATCGCTGTCGGGATATATAGTTTCACGGAACTGTCTCTCATCAGTTTTTTCAGGGAATCGCTTGAAACAATACAGGTTCATGCAGTGTCCAAGAGCGTAGATGTCGAACATTGTGTTTTGATCGGCCAACAACACTTCTACATCGAACAAAGTGTACACGATTGCTGAAAACTCTTCGATAGCCCACGACCGGTTTCGCTCAAATTGAGGCTCATCAGGTAGGCGCAGTTCCCGAGTGTCTGTCAACCTTTTGTTCTACTTGAACCCAAATTGGACTGTTTTCGAGAGATACACCAATTTGCGAGTCAATTTGGTTTTCACGAGACTCAACTGAATCTCTCCTTTATGATATTCTACAACTGAATGTGCTGCACACAGGCCGCCTCATGATTCAGTTGGCACGATGTTCGAAATATCACAGTATATTTTCATAAAGAAAACCGGTCGTGGGCTGTCGAAGGATTTTGGGCAACCTTATGAGTAGTGCATTACAAACATCACAAACGAGAGATTCATCTGACTTCCAGATGAGTCCCCCACAAAGTCAAATCTTTTTGTAAATGAGTGCATTTCGTTGAAGACTGTGACTACTTTTGGTTCAGCAAAAGTTGGTGTGCACGACCGGTTTCGCCCTTCTTGGGGCTCATCAGGTGGGCACAGTCCCCGAGTGACCGTCAACCTTATGTTCTACTTGAACCCAGAACATTCAGTTGTAGAATATCATAAACGAGAGATTCAGTTGAGTCTCTTGTGAAAACCAAATTGATTTGCAAATGAGTGTGTTTCTCGAAAACAGTCCAATTTGGATTCAAGTAGAACATAAGGTTGGCAGGAACTAGGCGACTGCGTCTACCTGATGAACCCCAAGAAGGGCGAAATCGGTCGTGGGCTGTCGAAGAGATTTCGGCAACCTTGTGAGTAGTTTCCTTTATGAAACTATACTGCGATATCTCGAATATCGTGCCAACTGAATCATGAGGCGGCCTCTGTGCTGCACTTTCATTTGTAGAATGTCATAAACGAGAGACTCAGTTGAGTCTCTCGTGAAAACCAAATTAACTCGCGAATTAGTGTACTTCTCGAAGGTGTACACGATTTTCATTCCAAAACGCATTCTAAGCATTCTCTGATGATATCTCACAGGGATTGCATCCATGTTTCTGAGGCAGAATCAGATGGATTGAACTTCCTTGTCCCCAACACGATTTCCATATGTATTGAGCACGGTATAAAAACAGAGACAGAATTATTTCCACACATAATTTGGCCCAACGTGACCGATACCCACGTCTCCCATTTGTGAGTGCCCGAGCACGACAGAAACGGAAAAACGGATGCAGCCTTGCAAATTATCAACTAGGACGCATGTATGAATGTTCATGATTTCCAAACTAACCTTCGGGTATGTGCAGATTTAAGCAGCTCTCAGAAAAACTTTGTCCCGATGAGCAGGAATAAACTCATCTTGGTAGAACGGTTTTGAATAGCCGCAAAACTAATGACAAGTCCCCGAAAGAGGCTGGAGTTGAACTCGGATCCCGCAGTATGTGGATAAAAGCATATTGTCAAACGAAATAGTGTGGCTCTGCTTAGAGGGTGTCCAAAATGCCTGTTTACTCCTTAACCAAAATTCCGTCCTCGGCAGTGAATAGTCTTGGGATGAATATTTAGTTGAGTTAGCCGAATTTCCGACATATTTGTTGTACCTTGACAATAATGTGTACATGTGCCTTCCAAACTTATGTACGCCTCCCGTGAAATCCACTGAAAGTAAAGAATTTCAGGCAGTTTCAACATGTAGTGTAGCAACTGAACGCGAGCAATACAAACCACAACGCAACACAGATTACAAAAGGACCAATCGGAATCTAGGTGTGACGATCATCAGTGGCCAGTCAGGTTACGGCTCAAAGCCGCTGTTTGCAAAATATATAGGCGCAAGCACAAATAGAAGGACTAATCAACGAACAGCGCACTGAAGATTTTTCCTCAAATGCGGACGAAACGTTTGCAAGTCAGTTGCCATACTTGGAGAACAGACCAACGGCCGCCATCTGATCAATTACTAAAGAAGGTATGATTAACGAAGGATCACAAGATAATGATAAAAGTGTTTTCGGTACAGCACTGTACCGGTCCGCTTAAGATGGCCTCTTCCATTCAGAAGAATTGACACATAGCTGGTTATATCATTTTCAGGAACTGTCGTGACAGCAGAATATGAAGAAATGTTGCTCAAATATGATTTCACAACCACCTCAGCTAGGGTAAGTCACATGCAAATTTTGTTTCCCCATCATCGGCAATTAATTCTATTTAGGACTCGTGTTCACATTATCTAGATTAATGTATATGTTTCATATTACAGCTCATTAGTAAGACGATAAATCGACATGGTAAAAAGTTGCTTTGTGTGCTGCCCAAGTAGAGGAAGTCGAATTGACAGGAAAGTCAATTCAACTCCACAGTGACGAATAGAAAAGAACCGTTCGAATGTTTAAACTGCACGCTCCAAAAAATGCGTTTTCTGAGGTACCTCATCTGACTTTTAACTCAAAAGTCTGAACATCAAGGAGAAGTTGGGGGTTTTGGTTGCAACTTATCAAATTGAACCACAAAGCAGTGGAAGCCTTAAGAGACCCTGACGTGAACCAATGATTCTGTGTTCTTACCACTTGGACGTGGGGGTCTAGCTTATCCCAAGACCACCGAGAGCACGGCATGAAAGTTTGAGTCTTGATATTGTTGTATAGACGCTCTTGAGGCTTCTACCTTAATGAGAATACCACCGCCGGTCACGATAAGCCGTTGCACGATCGGAGTTTACGGCTTCGACGGGTAGTTATTTCTACCAAGGAGAGAGAACTCTCATAAATATGGATATGCTGCTCATCCAGTGGAACACCTTGATGCCTTTAGCACTCCATCACAGAGGACAGTGGAACTCCAGCCCCCTGAAATACGAGCATTCTCAGTGCCAGGGTTCATTGCTCTGCTTCGGTTTGACCTTCCTGACGTGATAGGACCTCCACGAACTCGCAAAATCACTGCTGATTTTAGGGCTGACCACCATATCAAAACAGCAGCTATCACTCGGGGCCCAATTTAGCATTCTTGATCAACCGCATCGACCTGGAAATCCATCGGTTTGTGCGGCTGTAATTATCACGCTACCCTAAAGAATTCCTACTCATATTAAAGAGATTTGTTTGCGAATAGCAGTACACAGTCGGTTTGATGCATTGCTTTATCCTGACTATTCTACTCAGTGTCATTTATAATGAATGTATCTGATGTGCATGTCTTCAGTACAGTATTAGAGACCTATGCTTACTTGACATGGTGAAATTACGGCGGAGCACTGAGCAGTATTCAGATGAAGCTGAGATTAAGTAAGGACTCAGGGAATTTCGATCAATACGGTAGGACAGAGTGAGTGGCAACTATTCACACATGTTTCATGTTTTGTGCACTTCGATCCTAATGACCTTACACTTACTGTAAACTTACAGAAAGTTGCCAGTCAGTTCGATCCAGAACGACAGAAAATTATCACGCGAGAACAAATTTACCGGGTTCTGAACTGTCCTGGGAATTAGTAAGTCCACTGTTGCCACACCTTCGTTATGGTGTCAATTTTGCACATCACGTGAGCAACGTGTGTTGTTCATTGCACAAGTTTGACACTTGTGAGACTCATCTTCCGCGTTTGTTTATGGATACTGGTGTTCGCTCAAAACCTCTAAACAAGAGACAGTCATCGGGAGAACCGAAATTCCTCATGAGCTGAGTGCCCCTTTTTTCATGAGTTCCCAAGTCCCCCTTCCGTGGATTAGTTCTGACGCAGTCTGATGTGACAAAGAGCAAATAAGTACCGACCAGTCACTTGTGACTGAACGTTTGTGTTCAAGCTATTTAGCTGGGAAGGGTCACGTGTTCAAAACTCTTTTGAGTTTCGGGAGATGAGTACTACTTACAAATACCAATGAGAATAGAAGGACTGCAGAGAGCTTTCGCGTTTTTCAGCACAGATTGGCTTCAATTACGAAACCTCAGCTAACTGAGCAAGTACGTGAAAACACCGTTTGGATGAGTTTCCACATAATCAACAGATGACATTCGAATAATTGATATATAGATGATATCATGTAAGACGTCTTTCGGAAGACGTTTAGAGAATTTCTCGATGCACGGTGCCGTTTGAAAAATGGATCGATTTTGTCCTTAATGTACCCAGTAGTAAGAGAAGGATTCAGCTAAATGAAATGCAGTTGTCCTTTCGAGTACAAGTGACTGGATATCTTGTTCGGCTTACCAAAAGGCGCAGTATTTCTTACACTATGCCACCCGAACGAAGCGCAAGGTTATTACCAGGTTGCCCAAGTTTAGACAGAGGAAGTCGATAGGCAGAGGTCGAGTTCGAATCACGGACCTTCTAGTCAGTAAATTAAATTCGTGACCACCGAGCCATCTAGTCCCCTCCGTGTTGAGGTTTCCATACCATATTGCATTCACCACTGCACCTCACTAAGCTCATTCCAATAGTTTATCACTATAGCACAGGGCGGATCTATTTCTGCGCTTCAATCGTCGCAACCACCCGAGGGCGTGGTAACTGGCCGGGATGGAATTTACAGAGCTTGCCCATACAAATATGACTGTTATTTTCCATCCCCGACGAAGGCCTGAGTACCGGTTGGCACTACCGTGAGGCTGATACCTAAGCAAACAAGCCTGTGATGCTTAGGGCATAAGTATTAAGTGGATGTCTTCACTCCCAAAGGTCAAGTTATAACCAAACTCTGAAACAGAACCTTATTTCCAGTCTGTTTGCACACACACGCAAACAACAGTGCGAGGAGCTTAGTTTGGCTCAACCAAGAGTCGGTCATCAGACAAGCCTGAATGCGGCTAGCCAAGAAAGCTTCGAGCGTGAATAACATGTTATGCAGAGATGCATCTCCCGGATTTGTTGTACAAAAGTACGGTACTGCCCCAGTGCGTTAGCAACCTAAATTTCTTCACCTAGAAGTTCGTGAGTCCAAATGAGTGAGGAAAGAATCGGTAAAAGAACACCCGTTGACCATTTAACGGATCCGTCGGAGTGTTTATCATTAATTGTTCAGTTCTGTAGAATGGCCCCAATTCTTGTGGAAATGCTAACGATATAACAGTAAGGAATTTACACGTACCTCTGTTGTGACTTGCTGAACGGTAGTGCAACTCTGTATCGGTCACTTGGCTTCCTGCTCAGCCCGTTATGGTATATCAAAGGGCACGGTAGCTCTACACAGCCATTTATGGAGACGAAGGAAAAATATTACAACTGTATTTATAGGGTAGTCACAGAGTGTTTCACAAGGTCGTGCCTGAATCTCCGTGAGGGGACGAGAGGCGTCGAGTCACGGGTGCTTGGCTCGGATTAGCTGGTGATGTGATTTTCGGTTATTAGGGACGGCTGGCCTGCGTACGAGCTCCTACTGAGGGACCCCCCATTGGGGGATTGAATTTCCTAGGCTCCAATGCTTGTGTGGTTTTGTCGACTGCATGCTGAGTCTTGTGTAGTAAACACTACGGGTCACTGGTTGGTTAGCCCTGCGTTTCACGGAGAAGATTAATGAGCAAAACTCACCCCCGATAGTGTACCACAGCTTGTCGTAGAAGTGAATGTGTTCTATCAAGCTGGCTGACATCAATGCCAGTTGTAGTTTAGTGCACAAAGCGGCCAGCAGTCAGGACATTTCTTGACATAGTCGATAGAGAACGGGAGCAACTGTCAGCCGATGGAGTTCGGCGAAGCTCCATGACTCTGAGATGAAATTCACAACAGTATCGCATTGACCATGCTTAAGGATAAAAAAGAATTCCCCTACCTGTCCGTATATACCCTAAACAAACGATGGAAACGTGAGGTTGTACGCAGGAGAGTGAGGTTACCTGGATTAAGGGCCGAGAAAAAGGCCAGATGATGGTCTTTAGGGCGACGACCTTTAGTTGGAACGAGTACTTGCGGTGGATCAGCAAAGAGGGTGGAATTCGTTAGGATAACTTTAAAGTGTCAAAATGGAGACTTATTACCAAGTCAATCAGATGTTACTGTGCCCAGAGGGTGTAGAAACTACCCGACAAAAAAGAGCAACCTCTTTTGGGATGAGGATGCGAAATAACCATTCCAGTAAGGGAGAAAACGAGCAATAAGCACACCTATGGCTAAGACTGGGGAAAGCAGAAAACGATCTGTTTCGTATCATGAAAAGTTAAGGTGTGTCGCAGAAAGTTGGAAAACACAAGTCATTAGCTTCAGTTTCGCCATGTTCTGGATATTGGAAACGGCCCGCTGAACGCTGGACTTAAGATCGAGTAGTGTCTTCCCCCACACTGAACCGATAATGTGTAAACAGATCAGTAACGTGTAATGTACTACTCATAAGGTTGCTGAACATCCGTGACAGCCCACGGCCGGTTTTGCCCCTTTTGGGGCTCGTCAGGTAGGCGCAGTCCCCGATTTTCCGTCAGCCTTATATTCTATTTGGAACCAAATTGCACGAAATTAGCGAATATACACTCATTTGAAGACTAATTTGGTTTTTCGAGAGACTCGCCTGGAACCCAACTGAATCTCTCGTTTGTGACATTTCCACACTTCTGATTTAAGATGTGCTAATTTTGGCTTGTTTGGTAGGTTTTGAAGTTACCTTTTGAAGACGCGATACCTCATAGCGACTGAAACATGAAGCGGCCTGGTGCAGGACATTCAGTTGCCTGAAAACATCAAAAACGAGAGATTCAGCTGGGTTCCAGGTGAGTCCAACCTGGACGACCAGAAGGGTGTGTTCATCAGGCCTCTATCCACTGACCAACCTAGTGTGAAAGTCCGCCATAACTCAATGGGTCGTACAGTAACAGTCGCGTTGGTGCGGATGTTTTGTTGCTAGATTTGAATGGGTGAGGATGACCACGCTCCAACTTCTGTGCGTAATTCTAAACTCCAAACGGGCTTACGTGTATCAGGACCACTCTTGCATGCTTCGCACAAAGTTCTGTTTTCAAAATCCAAAAATTTTTCGAATACACCTCCATCTTATTCGAAGTGTGTATCGCAGCATACACATTAGACTACTTGTATCGTTTCCATTACCAAGATAGTATGTGGGTTTATCTAACTGTCACTCGGTAGGTCTCCTGATGGATCATAAAGACCCAGGTGACTGTATGATCGAAGTGATCCATTCCACTGGTTGGGCGACCAACTTTGAACGAGAAAAAGATCCAGGACATGAGTGGTACTTTAGGAAAATAGTGCACTGATAAATATTTTCGTAAGACCGTCCAACTTTTTCACCTACAACCGCTTGAAACACACGAGCAACACCCAGCGGAAAAGCTCACTGCTTTGTTGGTAATGTGGTGAAATATTGGTAGCTCAGGTGAGTTCATTGGTTGTTGATCAGGTGGCTGTTGATCTGTTCGCCGAGCTTGGCAATTGGCTCGCAAACGTTTCGTCACCATACGAAGAGACATCATCAGTGCGCAGTTGAGTGAGTTGAGTGAGTTGAGTGCGCAGTTGAGACCCACTCAACTGGAGGAAGGCATATTTTATGCGCCTTATGAAGAGAACCCAATGCCCCACAAATTCTTCGCTCTTTTGGAAAATTAGAAACTTTTGGGTGTATTGGATACCTAACAATGCTTTTGCAGACTTCAGGCACATGTTTGCATACATATCAAAATCCACCTTATCTATTCTAGTTTAGCCTCACTGAATTCCGTGTGCATGTCGTTGGCTGATTTTTTTTAATCTTTCTTTGGATTTAACTGAACTCTCCTGACCTATATTCAAGCCCAGCGTATGCAACTTCTCAAACGAACTGTTTAGTTCATTGGCCACATCGTTAGACAGATCACGTGAATCCAACTACCCTATACTGATTAAATTATGGACAACAGAATGCAGTGATTGTTGATCGGGTGGCTGTTGATCTGTTCGCCGATCTTGGCAATTGGCTTGCAAACGTCTCGTCACCATACGAGGAGACATCATCAGTGCGCAGTTGAGTGGGCCTCAACTGCGCACTCAACTCACTCAACTCACTCAACTGCGCACTGATGATGTCTCCTCGTATGGTGACGAGACGTTTGCAAGCCAATTGCCAAGATCGGCGAACAGATCAACAGCCACCCGATCAACAATCACTGCATTCTGTTGTCCATAATTTAATCAGTATAGGGTAGTTGGATTCACGTGATCTGTCTAACGATGTGGCCAATGAACTAAACAGTTCGTTTGAGAAGTTGCATACGCTGGGCTTGAATATAGGTCAGGAGAGTTCAGTTAAATCCAAAGAAAGATTAAAAAAAATCAGCCAACGACATGCACACGGAATTCAGTGAGGCTAAACTAGAATAGATAAGGTGGATTTTGATATGTATGCAAACATGTGCCTGAAGTCTGCAAAAGCATTGTTAGGTATCCAATACACCCAAAAGTTTCTAATTTTCCAAAAGAGCGAAGAATTTGTGGGGCATTGGGTTCTCTTCATAAGGCGCATAAAATATGCCTTCCTCTGAAACTACTGTTCAGACTAAATCTTCGACGGCCATTGACGTGAGTTGACAAACAAAAGTGAGAAAACCGGTATACCTTCTTTCCACTGTGCAAACCTTTCCCCTCGCTGAACATACTGGCTTTCACATCTAGCTCGCAAATCCGACTCTCCTTTTAACCTTTTGACCCTTGACTTGCTTTTACGAACTTACTAGGCGGGTATTTTGACCTCTCGCGTCACCACATGTTGCGTGCGGTGCCCAATATCCGGACAATGCTCTCAGCCGCAAAGCGTTCACAAATGGAGTAAAACTTTCTACGCGTATGTGCTCAAACCAAAAACCGTCCTAATCTACGTCCATATTTTTGCAGCTCACCAAATTTCATTGTTCACTGAAATAACCATGCCTCTGGCTATAAACTCCTGTGGGATAAGTTCCCAGCACCGCTGGGACCCCGGGATGCTTAAATGGAGCTTAAAAGTTTAGACTTCCATATTTTGCAGCTCACCAAATTTCATTGTTCACTGAAATAACCATGCCTCTGGCTATAAACTCCTGTGGGATAAGTTCCCAGCACCGCTGGGACCCCGGGATGCTTAAATGGAGCTTAAAAGTTTAGACTCAATTGCCGGATTGCTTTAGTCCACCAGGACCGAGGCATAACTTTCGAAAATTCAATTCCATTGTGAGAATACAGAACGCCATTGCGTGTCGTTAAATCAAATCGAACTACCGTTCACACCCTTTATGCTATCTCTGCAGCGCCTTCCTGACATTTTAGGGTTTTCTTCAGACTTGCACCAACCCATGCAACAATTTAGACGGAAATCCCCGCAACTTGATGTTTGTATTGTTTTGTATTCGCTTCACTACTTCTCTATACACAAGTAGTATCACATTTTACTTATAATTCTCAGTACCTCACACTGATCTGCAATTTTGCGCGTATTCGACTCTGAGCTCACCACATTATGTCAAGGACTCCAACAGCTGGAATAGGACTCAACCACTAATCTGCTGACGTAACTGTAGGTTGTTTCAGTGTCGTTTCAGGCAAGGCTAAGTCAATTCGAAGAGGCAGTTCGGGTACATGCAGAACAGATCTCTCGGTGAAAGTTCTGGCTTTCAGCACACAACAGACTTGCATCGGGCAGAACGACGTTCTCGGATGACGAACAGTATCATTCAGAAGTGTGTCCGCATCTAAGATCCATTGCCATCCTCTCTTGACTGTAATGCCGCAGAGACGGGAGTTAGTTGGTACACGGCCCTCGCTTCTTCTAATGTGATTTCCAAGATGTCAACCTTTCACCGAAAACCGTTTTGCTGTTTTTTATTCCGCAGCATGCCAAAAATGTCAATTCCACGTGATATAAGTATCCTATCATCTGATATGGGACCGTACTTACAATATTTTGTGATCCACATGGCGAGGAAAATTATGAAATACCTACCAGACATGAAAGTAAGCGTTTTTTCATATTTTGAACTGTACTGAGTGCAAAATATAAATGTGATTAAGGAACTGGACCCATATATCGCGTTGGCCTTTGACCATGGAGGCTTATGTCAGCATGCAATGTGAATGAATGTAGGTTCACCATTGTTGCTTGGTGTGTACTCATTTCCGAAATGAGGTCACTATGGTAAAAGGGTAATGCCTTCTCAAACACTTGCTCCAAGACGTAAGGGAAATAATTTCTTCGAAATGTATTTTCTCGGAGAATGCGTTCCTTCTTATGGAAATTAATAGCTCTGCGCGCCCGCATTCTTTCAGACCGTATCATTTGTTCATTATTGATCGATGTGTCTTGTTGATTCATCCAATCGAAGGACTACTTTCTTCTCAATCAGTTATTTTCCGGGCTGAGATGTACCGAACGTCGCCATCAGCCGAAAATCCTNGCGGAGATGCACCGAACGTCGCCATCAGCCGAAAATCCTCAATGAGGTTCCATCCTGTCAGTTAGGCGAGTCCAAACTGAAAAACCGAGAAGCCCCGTAAAGTTGTTTTGTCTTCTTTGAAAATCACCAACAATGCCCACCTCACGAAACTCCAAGAAGTTTTAAACCCACAAATTTCTGGCCAGGGGCTGAATATTTAACCGTTTGGACAGCTGATCAGCAATGTGATTAGCTCTCACCTACACAGGCCGTTTTCACTGATAGGATGAAATCTGTAGTGAAAATTAACAAATCGTTTCAAACCACCATCAGTCAAATAATCTTGTCCACGCGACCTGAGCCATAAAAAACCACGCTGTCACCTTTTGAGTTCATTATTTAAAGGGGAGGACGTATACATAGAGGATATCTTCGTAACGCGTGAATGAGTGACATTCATTTCACAGCTTACGCTTTCAGCCAACAGTTTCTATGACGGACAAGTGCAATTTAGCCACTTTTTATCAAGTTAGGGGAAGTGGAGAGGTTGCACATACAGTAGGCTGGAGACTAGAGGCTTCCGCTGAAGGTACACTGAACAAAGACCGGTTGAGGAACACTTTTTTCCCGGACGATGCTGTGGTCATCTTCTGTTCACACATCTAGCCAAGCTGGATCACGACAGCTGGACATGCGCATTGCAGACCGATGAAATAACTGTCCGCCTAGATTGATACCATAATCCACCCACCCGCACACCAAAAACCTAAGCTAGCTATCTCAGTGATTTTACTCGTTCGTGCAATGCTAACTGAAAGTGAAAACAACAAATCCATCTACCTAAATAGCCGCTAACCGAGGATTAGTAGCCAGCTGGTTAATTCAGAATTAGTTTACCATCTCCCAAAAGTAGCGCCCTTCTTAGCGGAATACGCTCATTTGCAAACCAATTTGGTTTTGCGGAAGACTCATCTGGAGCAAAGCTGAACCTCTCGTGTATGATGTTTTGCAGCAAACTTGTGAGTAGTATAATAGCGCCTTTATGTTTCATCTTCAGCAGTTCTGCCTGGAGAGTAGTAAATGAAACTACAACTGAAAGATGTGACTAGATTGGATAACTATAGAAAGAAATAGAATCATTCAGTAAAGTCCTTTCAGTGCCTAACTGCCATACGACCCGAAGGAAGCACGAAGGCAGAGATACTTCCAAATTGCCCAAGCCTAGACAGAGGAAGCCGAAAGACAGAGGGTCGGGTTCGACCCCGGACCTTCCGGTCAGTAAATTCGCGCTCTAACCACTTGAGCCATCTGTAAAGAGGCCTTGCTAGTGCACTACATCCACCTCGACTATGAGTTTGTTGGTCAGTCACTCGAATACTATTCAGCATGCGTGAAAAGGACATCGCAAAATAGAAAAGGTAACAGAGCCTCCATGAAGTTTTATTAAAAAGAATACATTTCAATACTATACCACTGTACTACTATACTATAATGTACTACGCTAGATTGTACTATACTGTCTCCTATCTCACGTCTGTACTCCTTTGTTCTTTCGTCAGGAAGTTGTCAGTCGTATCAAAATGCGCCTGGATTCACTTTACGGTCCCTTATGGCACGTATTCATTGTCCGCGGCCAGTACTGGGCCTACTACTCCCATGACACACGAACTGGTCTCGTCTTCAAAAAGGACGACCTAATTTATTTGATGTACCGTTCACCGACAGCTGAATGACGCAACAGCTTCACACACAGGACATCTCTCATCTTTTGATATATGCCCGCAAAACAAATCTACTGAAGGTTCATCTGCTATTTCAAATCACCTGTTTAGATCACTCAAGAACGGACGATTTATACATAAAGCATTCATTTTTAAATTTGCTCATTGCACATATCTGATTCCAAAAAAACCAAATAGATGTACATCTGATTAACACCATGAATTGACCTTGGGACTTTGCTTTCTTAGACACAAGCTATGGGCAAAAATTAAGAGGGGAGATTCGGATTCAACGTTTGTCTACAGTTCATTGTCGAGGCAGTGATGTTTATCTTGAATGCTGCGCAAACCTTTCTAGGAAAGAAGAAAACAACAGAACGATCGGTGCAGTCATCATCGATCGGCAAGCACCATTCTCACAGAGTTTGAATAGCAATCGATCCGCAACCTGATGTATGGCTTGTTGCTCTATAAGTTCGCCTAGGGACATTTGATTCAGCATTCTAAAATGTACTTGAGCAACTCGCTGTCCTTAAATTACACCCGAAACGCAACACAAATCATTATCATCATTAGGTTGAGCTGTAAAGCTGAATACTTGCCGTACAGTTGTGTTAGCCGACGATTTGGGTAAATAGCTGCGCCAGTATAATTGGTACGTCACTACAGGGATGTCAGTGAACTTTTCATTAGAGAGGTGCGAAGGGGAAGCTATGCATTGAACGCAACAGTTTGTGTGCATGCTCGCTATTGAACCCAAGACTGGGCCATCTCTAACATTGTCCACAACGCTTGGTGTATCCCGTCTCGGGATCCCCATCCAGGGTAACACCAATGACTAGCGCAACTGAGTTCGCTGGTAAAAGCTTTCCTATTTTTCTACTAAGTTCAGCTTAATCTGGCTCGTTTTCGCCCTTCGAGTGGTTGTGTGAACCAGCCATTTGAGTAAGTCGGGCTACTGGTTAACGGTGATACTACTGATGAGGGGGCATGTGAGTAGTATGCATTCTCGTAAATCCGCTTTGCGTCTCTTGAAAAGTGAGATCTATTACGGAGTTTGCGGAGCTGTTTTGTAGCGTTTGCTTGGATTTGAGTAACAGTCAGCGACTATCCAGAAAAGTTCAGGAAGGCACGTTCAAAGAGAGGATGGATGTTCAGTTTTTGTAAGCAAGATGCATATGAGAGTTTTGCTTCCCTGTCCAATTGTCTGTAACCGTTCAGTTGGCATTTCCACCAGACTTGGCCAATGCTCCGAAGACATCGATGGACAAACACTGAAAGTCTTCTGACGTCCTCAGCGCGCAACGGCCAGGTTTCTGTCCACCACAACAATATGAAGCCGCACTATAAACGCCACCCTCAACAGATAGTCTGATATGCCTACGATGGTGCAAGTTCTGAAAAATTGCTCTGTCCTTCCAAATCCGGATGGAAATATTGTATCATCTTTCACGAGACCACTGGGACTGATACAGTTGCCCAGGGAGACAAAATTGTCTACTACATCAATCAACTCATCCACAAGCATGAGGCTAGGGTTCGAGCCCACCCAGTTTTGCAGTAGCACTTTACAGTTTGCAGATATGGAGTGCATGCCAAACCGTAAGGCAGAATGCTTTAAATTCTTTAATATTGTTTGAACTATCACGGGGTCAGATCTAAGAGGAAGATCTATGTCGTCTGCTTACTTGATGTCTGTGGGCGGACGCCCAAGGAACACTTCGACCCCACAGGTATTAGAGGCTGACATCATCATCATCATCGTCGCCATCATCATTGTCAGCTGTAATAACCGCGTACTCGTCGAACAGTGGTTGTGGCTGCCGCAGTTTCGTTCACCAATGATTTAGGGGTGGGGTAGGTAGCTGCTCATCACAGGTGGGAGATGATAAATTGGTGCATAAATCCAGCACTGTCAGTGGGCTGTCAAGGGGGGGGAGTTGAAAGAGGAACTATGCATTGAAAGCAATAGCTTGGATGCACAAGCGCCATTGAGGGCGCGACTGGACCATGTCTGACAATGTCTCTAACCATTGATGTGGACCGTCTCGGGGTCTCCATCCAGGAAGACGGCAAAGACCAGCACAGCTGAGTTTGCTGGCAATGGCTTTCATACTTCGCTGTCAAGTCATTGTTTGACCGCCTCTGGCTCTCTTCTCCCTTTCACGTGGTTGTGCCAAGAGAGCCCTTCGAGGAAGTCGGTCGACTGGCATACGCAGCACGTGGCCAAGTCAGCGCAACCTATGCAGTGTGATCAGTTCATCTATCGAGGGTGAGTTATTTCTCCCGAATACCATTCGACGGAATTCAGAATTGCTGACCCGGTGTTCCCACCAGATTCGGGCAATGCTCCGAAGACACTGAAAGTCTTTTGACGTCCTCAGCGCGAGGTGACCACGTTTCTGATCTATATAGTAATATGGATCAAAGGTCATTCGACCTTTAATCCATAGACACTAACATAGTGCCTGACAGTCCTCAGAGTCAAAGGTTGCTTTCAACTCAAGGCAAACGACCACTGTTGGGCGCGGTGTCACTGTTGCGTAATCTGCCAGAGAGTGAAAATGTCTCTTTGCACGACGAAATCCGGGTTGGTTTTCATGAATCGGTTTCTCCCTGTGTTCAGTCAAACTTCGAAGGATAAGACCAGAGAGCACCTTCGATGCCACAGCTACCAGACTGATGTCACGATGGTTTTCACACAGCGTCCGCGTACCTTGTCTACATACCCCATTCTGCAGTCACCTTCTATTTGTCCCATATAGCACCAATAACTTTGTCAGATGAGTCACCAGGAAAGTTCCTCTTCTTCGATGAGGGCTGGATACAGCCCATCCGATCCTGGCTATTTCGTATCTTATTTCTTCTTCCGAAGGGCGATCAAGGTTTACATCCCATTCGCCCGTATGCATTATCTCCACAGGCTGCAGTGTGGGTGACCAGCCACACTGTTCTTCGAAGTGTTCGGCCATCTTTTCAGTCGACATCCTTGCGAATGAATTGATGGGCCGCCTTTTCCTCTTATCGTTTCAGTGTCGCTGATTTCCTAGGGTCAGTCGATGGCATCAGTTGATACAGGGCATGATTGTTTCCCGTAGCAAAAGCCTTCTCCATCTCCCGAGCTTTCGATGCCCACCAGAGCTTTCGATCTTTCCTTAGGCTCTTCACTAGCTGGGATTGGTGTGCATCATCGTTCTCTTTGCGTTCTGGTATGGATCTCCCGGTATAATTCATGGCTAGCGATCTCGACAATATCCAGTGGTCTTGTGGTCGGATCGGAGAAGTCGAACAGACGCCGCTGATATAGCTCCTCTCACATTTTGTCATGCTTCATCCACGTACTCACTACCAGAATAGCATTCGTTGTCCGTGAAGAGTTATTGGGCTAGCTGGGATCGATACTGCTGAGCCACGGTAGTTCTTCGAAGATGGTGGATTGGCATGCTTTTTGAGGGGCCTGAGGGGAAAAGAACTATCAGGTGTGCATGCACCATGACGGAGTCTGAATCAATTTGTGTGCCCCAGAATGAACGGCAGTCTTGAACTATGGCTCACCATTGGTGGCTGATGGTCACGTGATCCAACTGCGTCCGTGGTTCTGCAATTGGTGGCTGCCAGGGTAAGCGATGCGAGCATTTGTACTGAGTGTCCGTACTGGCCAGAGACAGTTCATGATCAGCTGTCCGTTTTCTGTACGACGAGCACCCACTCCGAACCGACCGCTCAAATGTGATTCCAAGGAGCTCAGATGACCGAATCGGGAATTCATATCGTCCACATGGATCACAATGCAAGTGTTCCTTGCTCAACGAATGAGCCCACATAACTCTCAATAGGGAATATCCTTCTCAGCATGAAAACTTCAGTCCGTCGGGACATTACTGTCTTGTTCCTGATGCGACTGCGCACAACAGGTGCCTTTTGAGCAGCACCGGGTTTTTTGGTTTTCAAAGTATTTCGACCGTATTGGATAATGCGCCAGCGGTCACGGTCAACCGTTGGGCGATCGGAGTGTGCGGTTTTTGGGGCCGACCTTTTCTAGCCCGCCCTTCGTCGGGGGAAGGCAGCATCGCTGCTTCCATAAATATGGACATGCTGGTCCTCAAGGAGGAACACCTTACTAACTGGACATTCATGTCGCAGAGGACAGTACGACTTTACCCCCAGGCCGCCTCGTAGCACGATTACTCGTAGTACGAGGCCTCACCACTCTTGGTTTGACTGCTTCCCTTTGGCCTTCCTGGCATGGTTGCATTTTGTGGAAAGAATTTCCAGCCAGTGTAGCCCGCGGGATCATTGCAGCACTGAAGCCCGACCACCATGTCAAGGTGGCAGCTTTAGGTGATGCAGAGACCGATATATTCTGACAATTGCTACTCGTAGCATGTCAGCCCAAAGTACGACGGTCATGAGAGGGTGTGGCGGAACAAACAAAAAATGGACACCCTAAGGGAGTGGTTGTATGTGGAGGGTTTAAGGTTGCAATTCGACTCTAATTTGATCCAGTCTGCGAGCCTGTGTGGAACTGCTATACCGGCTCACGATGCAGAGACCAACAACCAAGACCTAGGCTAATTTCTTCCCGGACGCGCCAACCCAACACTGATCGACAGTGTGGCTCATTCGGAACTGAGCTGCACTAACCATCACAGCCTCAGTTGACCGAAAAATTTGGCAAGCGCTTCCGGTTTTTGCATATCCAAAAGGAACGAATTCCTTGTTTTACCGCGTTTGTTTTTTCGGTTAAAAAGTCGCAATTTTTTTAGTTTATACGTATCATTTCATTTTTCTTACAACGTTTGACAATCAGTGATGAAAAACTTTTTTTACAAACCTATTCACACAGCTCGTCCGAAAAGAGAGAACACATAGTGGTAAGCCCGCAGCCGCAGCCCAGCTGGGCACAATAAAAAAGAGTCCAGTTGTTATGTACACAAAGTGGATCAACAATTTATCGTGTGACGCAGTGCAGTGATTTGCCCTCAGAGAGCTTCTGCGAAACGGACCAAGACTGTGCTAATAAGAAAATAAATCATTCATCTGTAGCACCCTTTCGGCGCCTAGCTGCCATGCCACCCGAAGGAAGCACGAGGGCTGGGATCCTACCAGGTTGCCCAAGCCTAGACAGGGGAAGTCGAGAGGCAGAGGTCGGGTTCGAACCACCACGGACCTTCCAGTCAGTAAATTCGCGCTCTAACCACTTGGGCCATCTCGCCCCCATG